GAGTGTGAGAATTGTTTGTACCTTCTTCTTGGGATCATAGAAACACGTTCGGAATCATCATCATTAAGATTCAAAGGATGATGGTCAAACAATACATCCTTTGTTGATGAAGAACTTATCATTTCATCTTTCTTCAATCTGATAAATCGTTGGAATGATGATTCATGATCCTTACCATATGGCATCTCGTCTCTCGTCTCATGGTTTGTGACAACTGGAAGGTCGGTAATCACATCCTCAAGCACGATCTTACCTTCTAATTCCACATCGTTGTTTTGATCATAGGCCACTATGTTTCCATGAAACTTCACAGGCATACCTTCTCTAATGTCAACATCATGAGTTGGAAGTGGGAACTGGGGAAGACTCTGAAAAAAAAATGATACCAATTTTAAGAACCAATCCATTTATTAGAAACAGAAAAAAGATGAAACGTTACCTTGCTAGACTGTGCACCCCACAAGAAAAGCCGCATGCGGAACTGGGCAAGGCCATATGAACCCGCAACCATCATTCCCATTCTTCTCTGGTTATTCATTTTTACAAGCCGTCCGACAGCGTAACGTCCAAGATAGCCTTCAACAAATTTGAGCATGTCGACTACATTCTCCATTAACACATATTTTGGTTTTAGAAACTCTACAATATTCATATAAACAATAATCTGCTTGTTTCTTTCATCTTCTAGCGGCTCTTTGTAATTCCCGAAGCGGATGAATCCACTAATGCCTTGGCAAGGAGGTCTTCCACAAACAACATCAACACCGCCCTAAAATAATTTAACACAAGTGTTAATGACATTCATCATGGCAGAAACATAAAAGTAGTTCACAATTAAAATATCAACTTCTTTAACCAACCCAACCTTGGAATCAACTCCAAGATATTATCCTAATCATCAACTATTATATTACTAACAAGAATTTTGCTAGTTCATGAACAACCAAACACAAACACTTACCAATCCGGAGTACGTTATTTTACACAAGACTCATATATAGAGCTTATAACATACGAGAAAAACTTTGCATTTCTGTTTCAGAAGTTGACCCTCTGATAATTATGTACCATCTTCAAAAATATAAGAAGGCAAAAGAAATCTAGATAAAATATGCGTACTGGTAAGGGAATAATGCTTGATATCCATGCACAACAAACTCCTTGATCTTCTCTCGACAATTTCTGTTCACAAATAAATTAAGAGACGTTATAACAATACACTGACATATATACTGTTGATGCATTCTTAATAACTTGTTCTGTTATGCTCACCTAAGCTTTTCAATAGGCTCCCAAGTATCACGCAACGGTTCGAAATTCTTCCACCGTACCTATTAGTATAACAAAACACCAAAGAAGATTGTGACTATAACGAGGCTAAACGATAAAGATAAAATATGAAATTTAAAGTAACAACTAGATTTTGATCCACGCCAATCGTGGGATTAAATAATTATATATATTTTTTAATCTATTTTAATATGTAAATGTGTCTAACAAATCATATGAATTCTAATATTTATAAACTTATAAAATGATATGCATTGTGCATTACTATAATCAAGTTAAATTTTGATCAAGCATATTTTGATGCAATCAATTTTAATATTTTTATGTGCAATTGATCATAAAATATGAAAATGTTATTCATTTCAAAATATTTTAAGTGTAAAATTAATTTTTATATTCGTGTAAATTATAGAGCATGCGATAAATCAATTAAATTTTAGATTTATATGAATTTATCGGACATAATAAACGAAAAGCAATAATTATTTTTCCATAATGAAATGTGTTAAGATTTTATATATGATATTAATCTAAATACATATATTAACAATAAATAATACTGTCACAAATATAATAATAAAATGTTTATAAAATATAAATAATATTTTTTAAAAAAATTTCAATATAAAAGAACTTTTTAAAATAGATAATATGGTAAGTCTAAATATTACATTTAGTTAGACTTAGATTTGCATTAATAAGAATATGTAGAATTAATTGAAATGTTTTCATTGGTTAATTTAGATGGCATTTCAAACCCTCATTGAGTGACACATATGATTTTCATCTTAGTGTCTTCTCAGTTAACATATAGAGGATGCCTTCTTCAAATAAAGTCTAGGGTTTTCTATGACTTCATGTTTCTTTTTCTTTTTAAGTTTCTCTTTCATCTCAAGATCTCTGAAGCAAATATCAAGAATCTTTTCCACTCTATCATCACTCTTATCGCTGCCATTTTCAATCTCCTTAGTCATACCGTAGAGGTTGTCATACTTTTCCGAATTTGGACATTTTCGCAAAGAGAAATGAATGCATAATTTTTCCCACTCCTCAAGCAATGACAGAAAATTTTGAGCCGACTCGTTTATCACCTAAAAACGAAGTGAATTTTGCAGAATTTATTTAATCAACCGAATATAAACACAAGACACAAAAAGAACATAAAGAAAGGTAGTACTTCAAACTCACTTCTGTTTTTTCGTGGTTGTACTTCAAGCTTTGACATGCAAATGTGTTCGAATCAACCGCCCATTTCTTAGA